CAAAACAGTTAAAACAAATAACACAAAAATAGTCTGGGGACTATTTTTTGCATCTGGTTTGACCTTTTGGGGGTATGTTCGGGGTATTTCTATTTTTCGTCGAAAATCCCCCTGTAGGGGGACAGGCCCGACTCAAACCTGGAGTTCAGAAGCTGCGAGAAAAACCCGAGGACCCGCTTCCTCGGGACCCGCTTCCTCACGGCCGCAGGGCAACCTGCGCTGCCCGCGAGCCTCAAGGGTCTGGGACGACTGGCCCCCCTGGGGCCAGGTCACGCGACACTCGAAGCCCGAATTCCCCGAATGGGCTGCTTCACAAAGCTTGTACACCCCGAGCCTCCAAGTAGAGGCGCCAAGACGCCTCCGTACGCGACGACCTGGTAGAGCCACCGCGAGCATACATGTCAAGTTCCTCGCAGTCTTCGTAAAAGCAGGACCATGACAAGAACGCATGGACGTTTGCGGACTTGGAGGTGGCCAAGACGGCACATCGACAAACGGGACCCTGAATCCGGAAGTCCCCAGAACCCCCTAAGCCAAATAATACTTTCTGCCTCACGCAACATGCACAGCAACCTCTCCAGCTTTCCTATCACGCGTCGAGCAAGCAGTACATGCCATGCATGTCCTTGCCTTGCAGACAAGTGCAGCAGATCTGGCACCACACACGAAGGCGTGCCTAATCTATGAACAGCTGCCGGTGCCTAAGATATGCACACTGTGCACGCTACACTGGCTCTTTCTTTGGAGACGAAAAGAGGCGCGCGCCGAAATCCATTCCAGACGAAATTGAGGTTTTTCTTAGAGTTTCAGTGTGCAGGCGCGCCCTGCCGCGCGGTGGTTCCCAGACGCACCTTAGAGAGCGCTGACGTATAATGCGAGGCATTCACATTGCACGTTGCGCATGCTATCGCGTGCAAATCACGCATGGCTTGAGCTACTTCGCAGACGCTTTCTGGCGAGGCCATTCGAGGGCCCTATCAGGGCCCGCCGGGGTCGCCGAGTGCCGCGAGCTTCCGGCAGCCATTGTCGACAGTTGGCAAAAGCAACGTCGCCGAATTGGTCGCCGAAAGAGCCGTCGAAAGGGCCGCCGAGATTGCCGCCGAAGGAGCCGCCGAAAGAGCCGTCGGAAGGGCCGCCAGAATTGCCGCCGAAATTGCCGCCGAAATTGCCGCCGAAATCGCCGCCGAAATTGCCGCCGAAATTGCCGCCGAAATTGCCGCCGAAATTGCCGCCGAAATTCCAGATGGTTCCGCCGAGAAAAGACCGAATTTGACCTTGGCTGTGACTCTATGCCTGTGTCTGCGGCGTCATCGCGCTTACTGGAACAGCGATTTCGCTTGCGACGGGGCAATGAAAATTTCGGCGACTGAATTTCGGCGGCGATTTCGGCGGCTGAATTCCGGCGGCTATTTTGGCGGAGTTCGCAATTATTTCGGCGGCAATTTCGGCGGCAATTGCGGCGGCAAGTTCGGCGGCAAGTTCGGCGGCAATTTCGGCGGCAATTTCGGCGGCGATTTCGGCGGCAATTTCAGCGGCAATTTCGGCGGCGATTTCGGCGACGATTTCGGCGGCCCTTTCGGCGGCCCTCCTGGCGGCCCTTTCAAGGACCATTTCGGCGGTTTTGCTTTTGACAGCTGTCGACGAATGCTGCTGGGAGCCCGCGGCGCTCAGCTTCGGTAAAGAGTCGATGTACGGCGACGCAGACCGACCTGACCTCAGCCCGACGATGATTGTAACATTTGTTATCTTGTGGTTTTGGCGGTGATGATGGCGACGGCCGCGGTAATGTTTGGTTCAACATGGATGCTCGTCAGGGGGCATTACAGGCTGGCCTACGCGCCCAGCACTGCATGCTTTCAAACAAGAATTATCCCGGCAAAGCAACCTAACAGCCATGTGTAGGAGCATCTCTGGGTCGAACAGCATGTCGATGTATCATACGCACTAACTTAAAGCGGGCGCGTTACGTTCGGAGGAGGGATCAAGGAGAGGAGGCCGGCGAGGGGGGGGCTGCGCCCATCCGAGGGAACGGGGCAGCCCCCCCCGCCCCAAAAAATGTTTCGGCCTCTCAAGGCCCCCCCCGCTCCACGAATCCCATTGGGGGGTCGAGATCCCCGCTCTGCAGTGGGATTCGCGGAACGGGGCGCCCCCCAGGTGCTTGTTATCTTCGCGCTGGCGCCGGCAGTGTGCACCTGAGGGAGCGCGGGTTGAAATGAGTGAGGGATCAGGAAGGATGTGGAGGGGCGTTCCGCTCTGAAGCGCCCTCACAATCTGGCAAAACCGCAACCCCTCCCCGGGGGCACCGCGCGTGCTGGACCAGGCACATGCGTCGCCCTAAGTCGGCGCGCACATATGAGAGGCCCATGTTTGTGTGTCTGTCCCCCAGGAAGGCCCGACATGGCGAGCAGAAGACCCGAATAATTCGTCCGGTGTGTCTGTCCCCCAGGAAGGCCCGACATGGCGAGCAGAAGGCCCGAATAATTCGTCCGAGGGGCTCCCCAGAGGGGCTCCCCAGAAGGGCGCAGGGAGCCTTCCTCAGAGCCCTGGTGCGCACGACCTTGGCCGAAGGCCATCAGATATGCAAGTACAACAGTTCATGCAGGAATGTCTTGTGCATGTGCTGGCGCCACTGCTGCGAGCAGGCAGTGGAACGAGCGAGGAGGGGGTATCAACCTTGACCGCCCGCCCCCGCCCCCTTCCCTTGACCGCGCTCCGCGGCCGGGCGCAAGCGCGGCCGGTCGGGGCAGCCAGCCGGGGCAGCCGGCCGGGGCAGCCGGCCGCCCTCCCCTCCTGCTCGTCCTCCTCCTCCTCCTCCTCCTGCTCGTCCTCGTGCTCCTCCTGCTCGTCCTCTTTCCCCTGCTCCTCCTCCTCCTCCTCCTCTTTCTCCTGCTCCTCCTCCTCCTCCTCCTCCTCCTCCTCCTCGTCCTCCTCTTCCTCCTGCTCGTCCTCGTTCTCGTCCTCCTCGTCTTGCTCGTCCTCCTCCTCCTCCTGGTGCTCTCTCCTCCTCCTCCTCCTCCTCCTCCTCCTCCTCCTCCTCCTCCTCCTCCTCCT